ACTCCTTTCTCCTAAAGAAAGGTATACGTAAAATCATAAAAAAAATTTGTTGGTTGGATTCTTTTGGTCAGTCAGGAGATCATCCTTGAAATGCAGATTAGGTTCTCCTGACATGACCAGGTGTGATCTTGCATGTTTAAATATAATCAAGACAGGTGTTCGCCTTTCATGTGTTTTGAAGTATATGTTACTATCTGAACTCTGTGCGAAAGAGTATCTGACTTCCCTCATATTAAGTGCCCAACCCTCCAATCCAGACTATGCCAAGTAGGTAAATATAAAGTTGGGATCAAATGTGTTTATTTTTAATTGAGGCTTATATTTTTATGGCAACAGGCTGAGTGGGCAAGTGACCCCATAACTCCAACAATGAGTCTTGCCTCGCTGCAAAGGCTCTAAAATCTGGAGATGAAGTTACTCTCAAGATCTCACGGTACTTGCCCTCACCCATCTCCTAGAACCTAAAGGATTTCTAAATTAGAATCAATTTCTGCACTTGGATGAGAGGGTGTTAACTGAAACTGAAATGTTCCATTCTCAGTTGGCAACAGCTGAAGCTTGATGTACTTAACTTTTCAGCTGAACAAGTCGGCCTAAGGATTGGATTGGCCAGACCCTGTAGGTGCAGGAATTCAGAGTCCTTCGTAATTACTAACAAGGACCAAAGCCTATAACTATGATAAACATTAGTCCACGAGCAAACAGAGATAATTTAGGTTCTAAATTTTCAATAAACCTGTACCCTGCCCAATCACAGAAGCTGCAAGAACTTTGTTTCCTTGACCAGAACTAAACTATAGAGATCAGACTATGTGAACTCTCACAGTGATAAGAAAAAAAGTGAAAGAAAACTGATTTTTTTTACAAGAGAATAGCTTTACATCTTGATTGCTACCATTTATTATTTTCCTTTCAAATATTCAGAAATATTTCTACATTGACTGTGTATGTACCGTTCATTATTAAGCTGTTCATTTGTTGTTAAGTATTTTTCTTAATAGTTATTTTTGTAATCCTGACCACATTGCCAAAAGTCTGCCCAGTTAAGAAAGGTATTTTAGATACTCCCAAAGGCACAGGGAATAGAGATTTACAGAGTCGATACATGGAAGCCCAAAACACAGAATAAAGAAGGTCAAAAAGAAAACTACAAGGCTTGTCTCCTATTATATAAGATAAATAATACATCTTAAATCAGTGTTTTTTTTTGAAGAGTTGAATAGGTTGATGATTAGTCCTAAAGCACTTCCACTGTGACCCAAAGTGCTGATGCTACCTGGCTTTTCTTTGCAAGTTTGACCCTAAGACCTTAGACAAAGTGCAAAAAGCCAAAATGGATGAAGATTTTTTGGTTCTGGACTGTGTTCCAATCCCAACATCGGTCTGCATAGACTTCCCACTCTTTCAAACTGTGTAACAGGGAAGAAGGACATAAACACTGAAAGTAACAATTTTTGTGGAATTATCTATCATAGAATCTTGGTAAGCAAACAAAGCTGATTTTGGTTTGATTAAAAGAATTGTTTGACTGGATTCTTATTTTACTGAGGTACAAATTAGAAAAAGAATTTCCCTTTAATAAAGTGGAATCTAATTCAAATAAATAATTAAAATAAATAATAACAAAATGTTGGAAACATGACTATGAAAAGCACAAAACCCGACACGAAAAAAATTCAAAAAAGGGCTACGTTTGTTGGTCTGAACCAAACAATGAATCTTAATATTAAAAAATAGATGTGAGAATGAAATAGTTATACAAAAGGCGTGTGTGAGGGAGACACATCACTTTCACAGGTCATTGGTTGGAAAGTGCACCATGGTTGACCCTGCATACCAAGGTGAACAAAACAAAATAACATAAAGTTTTGAATAACAAAAAAATTAATATGTAAAACATATTTGTCTGAAGCATTAAGATCTCCAGGGAAAGAAAATAATCAATGTTTCCTTTTCACATCAACAGTTACCAAAAAAAGTTGCTGCCTTAAAAATTCCAAGACACCAAAGTTTCTGTTACTTAGGCTAAATAAAACCCTAATATGTTCTGTAACAGAAAGGCATCATTATATGTACGCATCCATTAATGTACAAAACCTCAGGAGAATGCTGAGAATTTATGCAATAATACTTTCACTTCAGCATATTTAGCATTAATGGCTGAATGTTATTCATATATTTCAGTGTAGTAACTGACCAATATTCCAAAGCAGGTATTGAATTATAGCCAAAAGACAGTTTCAAACAGAGAAATGTTATTTGGTGAACCATGAAATCACTCCCTTTTAAATATTCCACATCAGATGCGTCTTAGCTTCAATCAAGCTGATTTTTGACTATGAGAAAATTAGTTTCTAAGACTCAAGTTACAGATATAAGAATGGTCAACTTGCCGCTATGTCAATTCTTGTGAATGTAGAATAAAATGCCAAGACAACTATTTGTGATACGGAAAACAGCAATGCAATCAATGATCAATATTTGTCAACCTAGAACCAAATTACTACAGGCATGAAAATATTAGCCTCAATTAATGGCCACTGTTTCAGTCCCTGAGCCTTCCATTGAAATGTGACGATTCTATGGCTTTAAGAAGTGTACTTTGTCCTGGTTATTTTCATAAAGAAAGGTTGGGACAGAGGTAGCGAGCAGTCTGCTCAAATCCAAGAAAGTAAACAGTTTGTGAGGCCCTGGGGCTTTCTTTTAAAGTTGGAACAACAGAAGCAGACTGAATGGGTGGGGTCAATCTCCCACAGAACCAGAATTTTCAGCTTTAGCTTTCTGCATTTGCTGGGGTCTTGAAGCTCAGTACGGAATCTCTTATTCCTCTCTTTGTTAAAGCCAAAATTTGAGGTTCTCTTCCTCTGCTGGAATTGCATGTGAGACAATCTATTTTACTGAATTTGCCATTGCTAAGGATGTGTTTATGTGATGTTACTATGTTAGAAGAGTTAATAAATATTATATGTATGTAACTTTGTTGAACATTTCAATAGAGTTACAGTTAAGCCAATTCTTTTATTTTTATTTTGTCTGTATTTTAACTGTAGTGTAAAGATAAAGTGTGTTTTGCTTAAAGTTGATGGTTTGACCGATGGAATTACATCTGGAATGCAACTCTTTACACTTAACTTTAAAATAAGAAAACGTTAGGGTCCAGACTATTTCCTGAATATATTTTGATGGGACTTGGTCTGGTCCATAACAAAGAACATAGAACAGTACAGCACAGTACAGGCCCTGCAGCCCACGATGTTGTGCCCACCTGTTATCCTACTCTAAGATCAAAATTACCCTGCATACCTTTCATTTTACTATCATCCATGTGCCTATCCAAGAGTCGCTTAAATGTCTCTAATGTATCTGACTAACAAAAGTGATAATGAAGATTGCAAATCAGATCAAACATGATCTAAATAGCTGTATTTGGACTTAAAAGGATCAAGGGATGCAGTAATTTTATGTCTATGTTGAAACTTTCATTCAATAACATCGTAGAACTGTGAAGGTGCCTTTTTGGATTATCTGCCCTGGTGTGAAATATGGAATGGATGTTAAGAAATTAGGAAACTAAGATTGTGCTATCTATGTTCAGTGATGGGCAGTACCTTGACATCATCTCAAGTTTCATCTGTTGTCCTGAAGCCCTTACACAACAGGATCAGTGGATATTTAAAAGATTTTGCACCCACTCCTTTTTATTTTAAATATGCTAGCTACATGTGCCACGGTGCCTTTATGTAATTTGTGTCTTTGCTTCAACAAGGCTGCAGAATGCCAAGGAAATATTTAAATATCTGACAACTTTTTTTTTCAACTTTTCAGCAGGGTTACAATTTTTTCCTATCATGCTTACTTTGAAATGATTAGATGGAAGAACTTCATGTGCAATGGAATTTTTAAATAAGAACCAAACTTTGCTGGGTTTTTTTTTCCCTTCATTTACAGTGCATTTTAAAGTACTGATTAATCTGTGAAAAGAGCCACAAGATCTTTACATCCAACTGAGAGAGCTAACAACTCTTGTTTGAGGCTCTACATTTTAGTTTCCTTCTGCTTCATTTTTACCTAGTAATTTTTCACAATGAGTATTGGTGTTCTGGTCTCCTTTGAATTCAGCCAATCATTGCAGGCAGCAATAGCTGCATGCTAGCTGTTAATAGAATAATGCTGTTTGTACCCCCATATTCACAAAAGTGTGTTGAGTAAAGGTGCACAGATACAAAGTGAATATAAGGGCTAACTGATTTATCATAATCAATGTGTGATGATGATATTAATGACATGAATTGATCATATCACTAAAATATTGTAAGTATTGCATTGGCATAGTAGATTTACTTTTCTAATGTTGAAGCTGAGTTGCATTTCTGTTTTTGCAAGATTTTTTGGACATCTTCTGTTTAATCTTTAAGTGCTGTATAATCTTTTCACCAAAACAAATGGCTCCTTTCCCTGAGATAGTAGGAACTGCAGATGCTGGAGAATCCGAGACAACAAGGTGCAGAGCTGGATGAACACAGCAGGCCAAGCAGCATCAGAGGAGCAGAAAGGCTGACGTTTTGGGCCCAGACCCTTCATTCACCACTTCTGATGAAGGGTCTAGGCCCGAAACGACAGTCTTTCTGCTCCTATGTTGCTGCTTGGCCTGCTGTGTTCATCTAGCTCTGCACCCTGTTGTCTTGGCTCCTTTCCCTGCTCTGCAATCCTGTTACTTATTGAACAAGGGGAAAAATGTGCTGAATGTGGCTTTTCATATCTTGCATTTTGAGAAGTAGCACCTTTGACAAGTATAAGGATGTGATCCTGCTTTGAAAATGTTTTAAATTGCTACTATAACTGATCTGGATTCAAAATGTATGAATAAGTATGAATGCTTTTACAACCAAGACCTTAAATATGATGCACTAAATGTCATATTGCTAAATGTGTAAGGTACATTTTGAAATGTTTTCAGAAATTTGTGACCACATTAACACACTTATGTTATGTCTTCTCAGGCTACTGATCCAGATGCTGGTGTCAATGGGCAAATTCGATACAGCTTAGCAAACTTCAATAACCTGTTCAGAATCACATCAAATGGGAGCATTTATACATTGACATCTTTGGACAGAGAAACAGAAGATAAGTATGATCTACTTGTAGAGGCTTCAGATGGAGCAGTGGATCCTCGTCGCTCAACTGTGACTATACCAATCAGAGTTCTTGATGTTGATGATAACAGCCCTGTATTCTCACAACCAACCTATGTAGTTTCTGTACCAGAAAACAATGAAGCTGGAATAATTATTCTGCAGTTACAGGTAAATAAAGCACAAATAATGCTGGCTATGAATGCACTACATTTAGAGTGAATAATATGCAAATATGTTTGCATGGAAAACATAAGGTTGTAAGTTATGGCTAGTAATGTTTGCATATGATTCCTATTGTAATTAAGCAACCAATCAAAAGTGAAAATCATAACAAATAGAGCAGAAATAGTCACCACTAACCAGGATCATTCTAAACCCAATCTTCTCTACCCCACTGGATGTATCCCTGTTTCTTATTTCCAATCCAACAACCTCAATCGTCTGAGGAAGTATCACCAGACTGGAAACGTTAACTGTGATTTTCTTCTTCACAGATGCTGCCAGACCTGCTGAGCTTTTCCAGCAACTTCAGTTTTTGCTCCTGATTTACAGCATCCACAGTCCTTTCAGTTTTTAACCTCAATCATCGCCAGACATCTGCTATAACTTGTTTGCACCCCAGGTGTGTTCGATTTCTTGAAATTTTAGTATTTACTCCATTCTGTAGCCCTGGTTTTGTAACTACTTCTGTGCACTGGGCTTGGATTCTCATTCCCTATCAATACCCCAAGGGACATTGCTGATACACTTCAGTACCCACATGGCTACACTGACCTGTCCGACAAAGACATGGGCTCATCCGCTGCTGGTGCTGGCTGAAGGAGCAAAGGTAAATTCTGTCCTTGGTGCATTGCCTCTTTTGATATAAAGTGTACACTGTCTTAGTGTAAACCTAGATTATATATTTAAATCTTGACGTGCAGTCTTAGCACACAATCTCCAAACTCAAAGAAAAGAATGCCATCAAATGTGGTTAGCTTCCAGGCAACCAAGGTTACGCTCTGCACCTCATCAGTCATGATATCTTTGTGACAGATACAGACAGAACATAATGCAAGTAAAGCATATACTGCAACAAAGATGTTCATAGAATAAACAGACTCCGAAATCCGGATTAATCAGGAGAGTCGTACAGTAAAATTGTATCAAAGGTTTAAATATGATAGTTATATATCATCCAGTTCACAAAAGAGTCAAAGAGAAAGAACAACAGAACACAAAGATGTTGCAGAGCAGGTGGCTGAGAATAATAATGGGAAGTAACTGCGGAATCTGCAGTATGAAAAGGAAGATTTGATATCACAGGTACTAATCCAAGCTGTACCATAAAAGTAATAGAGGTGACTCATTTTAAAAAAAAACAAACTTCAATTCAGACATGATTTATTTTCTTCTGTACCACCTTCTCCCACAATTACTACATTAATCCTCACATATTAATTATTCCAGCCTTTTTCTGTTATTCTTTATTTTAAGCATTTATATAGAAATGCTCAGCACTGTACTCAGTTCAAATGGTGTGATTTTTATTTCTAATGCCTTGCAGTTAGTGACTCCATAATGAACAGAATAGGTGGACTTGTTGGATGTGGAATCTCACTGCAGGTGGGACTGCCACATACTGTAGATGTGGCAGCAGTTACAGCTGATTCAGATGCTTCCAATGTTGTCCTGACCACCCAGAACAATGTGTTGTTTAGTAAGTGTATTATCCCTTGTGTAGAGATGCTTGATAGTCCTATTGTAGCATGCCCTGACAATATTGTATGATCCTGGAATATTGCATGTGTACCACTACTGCAGAACATCTTAGTCTATTGACCCATATCATTGAGGACTTATGAAGCCTGCAACTCCCTGATTCAAGGTTGTCTGTATATTTTCACCAAGCCTATTGACACTGGGAAATAGTATAACTTAGGAATTGGAGGGTTATGACTTCTATTGTAATAGGCTGAGTACTCTTGAGTTTTGCTTTACAGGGAACTAACTTGCAATAAGACAGTTACAATCTTAATTATGTGAAGTTACATATGAGAGAAATTATCTGCACTGAAGGTGCCACATTGATTGTTAAATGCTCCACCCCAATGTGTCTATGCACGTGTCCATGACTACATAAAATTCAGCTTGTGGATTCCTTGAAGGTTGTTTAAAATATGTTTTTTCATAAAGATAGATTTGTGAAACCTGAAACTAGTTTCTGCTAGAATCTAAGCTGATCTTTTGCTCACCAAATTCCTGTACCCAGCGCTGTTTGGTTTTCTAAACCCTGTGTCCCCACTCCAACATCTGCGATGTACACACCTACTCTGTCCTTGTAACCCTGCATTTCCCATTACCAATCCCCCAGCCTGCATATCACTCGACACTATGGGCAATTTAGCATGGCCAATCATCTGCGATGTATTGCTATGTTGATGTTTGAGTAAGTTGATGATAGTGGTACGGGGTTGACTTGTTGACATAAACTACATTGATTGATCCTGTTATTCTACTTCAGCCAAGAAAGATAACAATGTCACATTTCTGCCTCAGTTAAGCAGACTGCAAGTCACAAACCATGCATGGTTTTATTACTGATATTATTCAAGTCCAAGTGACTGTGTTCAGTTGGATTATTTTACTTGTCATGAACATAGCAGTAGGCTATGGCAACAGTTTGGGAACAGCACCTGTCTTCATATCCCTCGATTCATCTCTGCTCTTCCTGCCAATCCTTTTCACTGAGTCCTCCATAAATGGGACATTGGATTTGCATTGGCACTTCCATTGCCAGTGCATCACTTTTTGTACTGGTTGTCATGTTTATTAACAACAGCATTAATATGTTGAAAGTTTACACAACACTTATTCATAGAATCCTTACAGTGTGGAAGTAGGCCATTCAGCTCACTGAGTCCACACCAACCCTTCAAAAAGCAACCCACTCAGACCCACATACCTACTCTATCCCTGTAACCCTGCATTTCCCATTGCTAATCCACCCAGCCTGCATATCACTGGACACTATGGGCAATTTAGCATGGCCAGTCCACCTATGCACATCTTTGGACTGTGGGAGGAAACGAGGGCACCTGTAGGGAATGGGGAGAATGTGCAAACTCCACACAGACGTTGCCCGAGAGTGGGATTGAACCCCGGTCCCTGGCACTGTAAGGCAGCAGTGCCAACGATTAAGACATTAGATTTTATTTCCTTTGAAATAGTTTCACTCTTTTGCGTCCTTTTTTGATTGTGGAATTAGAATTTCTGGTCAACACACACATTTGTGAAGCACTTCTGATGAAACATTTCATTAATTCTTTCCATTATTTCAAGTATTTTCCTTCAAGTACATAATTTGATGCCCTCGTTATCTCATGATATTGCTGCATTGATTAACTCTCTAATAGGGGTTTTTAATGGAGAAGTAGTAAACATTGAAGGGTTTGCCCAGGTTGATCTTCCTTCATGTGGATTAAAGTTCTTTCTTTTCCTTTTAACTTAAGGGGCTTTTGCTGTCTTTTATGATGGATTCCAAGAGTGAAATTCATCAGCAAAAAGCAATAATGTTCTGGCATTCACTATTTCAAAGTCTTTAGTGACTACTTGGTGCCTTAAATAAATGCTGGACATGTTTGCTGCAGTTTACGTCTCATTGACTACCTCTTATATAATTTCTGCAGCACACAGCTTCTTGTACTGAAGAACAGCGGTAAAACTGTGCTTACGTGAGCTTAAACAGCATACATAATACACAAAGAACTCTTGACTCTAAAACAGTCAGTTTTCGGTTTGTGTGGTTGGTCTGATTTGTTGTTACTGTTTATTTTCACTTTATTCTCTCTCCTTTCCAATGCTACATAATTCACATATTCCTTTAAGTTACTGCAATCAACAGTAAAGCAGGGAAATTACAAAGCCGAGTGAGAGGACTAGATGTAGTTATCAAAAGTCCTGGGGATAGAATTTACTTTTCTCTTGTTGAGAGAGTAACCCTTCTGTCACTTCTCTTAAGATGTTGTTAGTTGGAATTCATCAACTTCTAACTGTACTGCATCACTTCTTACCTTTGCTTATCTTTAGTTTTCATTTGGCAATTTTAGACTGCAATCTCCAGTAAGTATACCATCCATACTTAACATGAGCAGCCACTTACAGCTGGCAAATGGTGCCAATGACCAGTGTCTATGACCGGAGATGAGATATGAGAGGTGAAAACATTCCGATATTAATGTTCACAAGTCATCATCAACCTTCCAGGTGATGCTATTAAAATGTGTACTTCTCAGCAAATTTCTGAGATCACTGCACTGCACACTCTTTTCCTGTGGAATAGGCATGGTTAGTGGGATCAATTTTAATAAGTTATTTCTCTTTTTTTTCAGTTTATGTGCATGGGGAGGCAATGGCTTACTGCTACTATTGCTAGACACAAAAGGTAGAAACTTAACAAATGTCTTGGGGAATGAGTTCAAATCCCACCATGATATATGGTGGAATTTGAGTTCAGTAAAGTATCTGGAATTAAGGGTCTAATGATGACCATTGTTGATTGTCTTACCTAGTCTGGCCTACATGTGACTCCAGACCCACAGCAATGTGATTGACTCATAACTGCCCTTTGGGCAGTTAGGGATGGGCAATAAATGCTGGCTAGCTAGGGACACCCACATCCCATGAGTGACTTAAGAAACTTATATTTTAATTATAAATAACAAACATTTGCTCAAAGATGTGTTCTCATGACTTGGTATCTATTTCTTTCTTTGATTCATTCACAAGACATGGGCATCACTGGCTAGGCCTGTATTTGAGGATGTTGACTTGTTCGCTGAGCTGGCTTGTTCTCATTCTGACGTTTCATCACCATGCCAGCTGACATCATCATTGAGGCCTCCGATGAAGTGATGTTATTCGACTTCACTTGGAATTTATACTGTCTGGACCATTGTGGTGAATTGTGTCATTTCCAGTTTTGATCTGTAGGGGTTTGTACATGGGGCCCAATTCTCTATGTTTGTTGATTGCATTACGGGTGGAGAACCATGCCTCTAGGAATTCCCATGCATGTCTACGTTTGGCTTGGGCTACTATATAGAGTACTGGACCCCATATACAAACCCATACAGATCAAAACCGGAGATGACGTTACTCACCATAACGGACTGAACAGTATAAATTCC